ATATGTTTTAATGGTGAATTAATACCTGGTGGTAAACTATTGATAAATCAGGGGAGCAGATGGCTCAGACAAGACATACACGCACTGTACTTTGTTAAGCACATCATTTGAAATAGGATCGTGATTTGCTCCTCTCTATCCATGGTTCAGAAATATGCCAAACTAGGGGTGCTTCACTTCCCCAGCACCCTACCTTGTGGCCTCAGAAGCCCTCCAAAATTGTGCCTTTAACTTGGAAAACATCCCCAGATTACAATTCTACAGGTGGGTTTGTGCTACATCTGAAGTTTGGGTTTCTTTTAACATAAGGGTTTTGTCTGATTTGATGACCGAGGCTAGAAATTACTGTAATTTTTCATTTTGATTCGAAATTTGTGTTATACTGGCTTTTGTTGTTAATTATTGCATATCAACTTGAATAAAATGTGAAGTTTTAAACTGGTATATTTAAATATGCAGCATTCATTAGACTTTTCTTGAAGCTTTTTATTTAACTTTAGAAGGTTTCTAAAACTCCTTTTGTTGTTTTTCTTATCTGCTTTTCTGTTTTTCTTCCTCACTGTGTTTTAAGTGTCAACTAAAATGAGACGTTTTAAAAAGTTGTACAACCAATATTCAATGACACAATGGCTGATGGTTATCAAGACTTTTGTCTGAATCTGCTTTTGCGGGATGGGCGGTTCTAAGGATAAGAATGGGAGCGCAAGGCGAAATGCTTCACTTCCACTCTTCTCAAACCAAATTTTAAAGAAAGGGGGGGGATATAGCTCCTCTCGTGAAGTAATTTCACTGTGTCACTGGAAAACTTCTTCTGGACCACTGATTCGTTGGGATGCTGAGTTGTGACCTCTGACCACAAGGCCATCCACTCCTGTGCTGATCAGGCTGTGGTCAGAGTCCTCAATAACTCATCTGCCACGCACATGTGCAGGTGAACCCACTGGATGAAACTGCTGCGGTGCATACTCACAACTTCAGCAATTCCATCCTGTGGTATTTAAATCCAGTTCTGATTTGCCTTAACCAGGGGAATCTGATTTAAGACCCTGTACAGTAAACAGACATTAAATTAGGGTTCTTCATTTGAGGGCCTAGCAGACAAAATGGCAGCTTGAGGCTTACGAAGAACATGAAACTGGTTGGGTCACTGAGATGTCCTGCAGTCCAATGATTGGAATCAACATTAGCCTCAATAAAGCTCTGAATCTCTCCTGTAAACCTGACCAAGTATACTATGGACAAAACTGTAATATTTCTTTAGGGGGAGAAATGAACTCCTTGGGCAATCGGAAAGCTTTTCACAGCATAATTTTAGTTAAAAAAAAGGTTTGAGTCATCTAAAATTACTTTATCAAATCTCCTTTTGTTTGGGTAGTGGGAAGTTTGGAAAATCCACATCACGGTTTCTCTCTGTCAGTAGCCGCTTAGCTTCACCAGATCCTGTAAGAAGATCTCAATGGACTAGCAATTTTGTGCAGGAGAAGGGTGTGATTCAGACAGCCCAGTCTTGAGCTATGTGAAGCTCTAAAAGCCAGATGCCAATATTCAAAAAGGGCTTGAAACCGAACAAGGAGCCAGTGACACCTCTTGGCCGCCACACATAATGTTGACGGTCCACCTAAGTGGACTGGACGGAGTTTCCAGGTGCTCTTCAAGGCGAGCCCAACATACGCCTTGTTCCAGATTGCATCCTGAGCGGAAGGCATTCAAGTAGCTTCTTTCAGAGGGCTGAGGAGGAGGAGAAGGAGGAGGAAAATGGTTCACACACCCACCAGCTCTCTCTGGATGGCTAAGATGCGATCCCGAGCATCCTCACAGTTAGCCTTCTTCCCAGTTATCAGGATCACTTCGGAATTGCTGTTTTCTGTAGGGAGGTCAATCTTGGTATTGGTTTCCTCTCGAATCTATTGTGAAGAGACAACATCAAACCCCAGAGCCTCAAGGCTAGACTACCGCAATGAGCTCAACAAGGAACTGCCCTCAGAAGTGATGGGTGGAGGTAGAAACGAAGCAGTTCCTCCAGGATGATAGGACTCTTTGCCAGGAGCCTACTTGGACCACATATTCACAATGGGTGTTGACTCCCCCATTTAGTGCTCACCATGTGGGAAGAATCTCAAAATCCCTAAATCCCAAATCGGCCTGGCCAAGGGTCAGTCTACTTGGGAATCGCAACAGTTTTGGAGTCCAGTGTGACTTGGGAATACTCTAGTGCATATTAAACCGCAATGTAATGTGCTAGATTTGATAGGCTTAAATCCTTGAAACACTGACCTTTTCCATAAAAAGGGTTATGTACCACCACCAACATGCAAGTGCACATGTACACATATATGCACACAGAGGCCAGACTGCCAAAAGCCTCATTATGTAATGTGTGAGGTGTAAAAATTGCTGTGTAAAAGGTGAAAGTCTCACCCTTTTACCTTTTTGATATTGGTGCCTCCTTTCCCAATGATGTTCTTGTGGAATTGCTTGAAGATTGGAACCGGGATGGAAAAACTATTTTCGATCTAAGGCACAGAGAGGGAGGGGAGTTAATCCAGAGAGGTTCCATGTCCTGTTCTACTAGCCTCCATTAATATATCTTGGGCTTCTGGAGGTAAAGACAGGATGGATGGACCATATCACAGGTGACCTTATAGCCCAGCCTCTGGCTTGCTCAGACTCTGTAGTGTAGAGTGATGTTAGCCACATAGCATCACAGGGTGAGAGCTTCAGCACTATATATCTCCTCATATTGCCACCGCCCACTACCATCCCAACCATCACAAGGAATGTGTGCCATGGTGGCTCACGCATAAAGCAGAATTGTCAGCTATTCCAAAGACTTGAGAGGTTATCTCCTCTCCATGCCCCACTGGCTGAAAAGGGGATGGAGCATCCTTTTCCCCCAATGGCATGAAGGATGCCACTGCAGACAGACTTCTCTGGAACCTCAGCCAGCTAGACTCACCAGCTCTGCAATGACTTTTTGGAGGTACTTGGCACACTTCTCCACCTCGTTTTTGGGGCCACGCAACTGTACAATGTCGCTCTTCTGTGAAGGGTCAGGGAAATTGATGATTACCTGTAGGGTGGAGAGGCACAACATGTGAAGTCTGAAAAGAAGAGGGGTGGGCTCCCATCGACACGACCCCTTTATTTAAGTCCTATTGCAAAGCAGAGACCTGGCGAGAATGTGAGTGATACAAAAATCTAGCCAAATTTACATTCACCTTATTCTGAACCAATTTTTCTACTTGAAGTCTTGTTCCTGTAAGTAGCAGTGAGCTATACAAAGCATCTATTACTCATCTTCTCATTTATAATATTTCAGCCAAGTATTGCCAACCCACTTTCAAACAGCTCTTATAAATTTGATGTATACCTCTTCCACCCCACTTCCCCTCTGGCAAGTTTCCAAAACAGCTAATTAAATTTTAAAAAAACAAGGACAGCGTATAAAAGTTAAAACAAATTATGAATGGTACCAAGACCATTTAATAATTAAAGGGCTGACAAAATAGTTGCACCTTTAACAGTTTGATGAAGATCTTGTATCTTCCTTCTAAAAAAGCCAGAGATTCACAGAAAAACGCATTCTGCATTAAACATAAATTTATTTCCTTGAACATCAAGCAATACCTATCTTTATCTAACAATGTATGCAGTTTATAAAATAAAACTGCAAAGACGACGAAGTTGTTTAGTTTCAGTCTAGTCTTTTGGGTTTAAAGGGTGTCCAGTGCTAAGCAGAGAAAGTATAATCTCAGGATTAAGGTAGGCTTAAGTCTCTATGCAGCTATAGAGCTTGTTTAGCTCAACCTACCTCAGAGGGCTATTGCCATAGGAATAAAATGAAGAGAGGCTTGCATGCTTTCTCGAGCATCCCAGAAGAAAGATGAGATATAAAAGCAATAAAATGAAATATAAAATAAAATATATAATTTAAACTAAAATAAGGCACTAAGACTCAAGGCTACCCAGAACCACAAAACAAACAGTTATATTTTGCCGGCAACTTGAAAATACTTTTGCAAAATGCCAAGCCAAGCTTCAGTGGAATGTGCTTCTAGGGAACTCCTTACTTCTGGGAATTTGTCCCGGACCTCCTTGATTTTCTCGCCTTTCTGCCCAATGATTGTCCGGTGAAAGCGCTGTTCAATTATCAGGTCCTTGGTGCGTTCATTTTCCTAGGAGAAGCCATAATTCATGAAAGGCACTGCACCTTGTCCCAAACCAACAAATTGTTTGTAGGCTTGGGCAGATGGGTTCTGGACAGGGGCAAAATATCCCTCCCCTAAGGACTTCTAGCAAATACACAGAGCGACACTCGATGCAGTCAAGGCACAGTCTGTCCTTACCATCCGAGCAGCCATTTCCAGGAGCTCCTTACGAGCCAGCTGAACCCCTTGAGGGTCTCCTTCTATCCGGATCAGGTTGCTCTTCTCACTGTCGGGAGGAATGCGGACTGAGACTTTGTGCTGTTCCTTGATGCGGTTGACTGCGAAGGAAGTACAGAAAAAAAAGAATTAGATGCAAGTCCTCTTTGCCCTGGGGGGGGGGGTTGCTATCTCCCACCTCTCCAGCAAAGTGTGATGGTGAAACGCCACAGAATGGAGGAACCTAGGTTTCAATTTCTAGCTGGCCACAAACCTCCCTCACGGGATCATAAATCCAGGGGTTCTCTAACTTTGCTGTGACCCCCTAAAACTACGGATAAATTTGTGTGGCCCCCATGAATAAAACCAACAAATTCTTTAGGATTAGAGTTGAATGAGAAATGAATACACCTCTTATTTTGAATAGTTAAATTTTAATGTAATGCATCAGAGGAAGCCTCAGAGTTTTGTGGTATCAGAAAGGAAATAAAGCCCGGAGCTCTCACTCTGTCTGTGAAAGGTTGATCAGTTTTTTTTTTAAATGTGCCCCCCCAAGTTGCCTGGGAGCCCCAGAGGACTCCTGAGCTAATCCCTCTGCCAAATTAACGTATGTTGCAGGGTTGAGGCAAGATCAACTTATTTTGCGGGGTTGATGGGAAAATTAAGGGGAGAGGGAAACTGCTGCTTACAGCCCTGAGCCAAGTCACACAGACAAGAGTCAGGGTCCCCATCAAAAAGACCGCTACCCAGTATGGACTGGGAAGAGGGCTGGCTGGTTAATCTCTTTGAGGAGGCAGAAAAAGAGGGATCTGGCTTCCACCATCTACTGGCCAACCTGACAAATGTTAGCAGAAAAGATTTAGGGGCTATTTAGAGCTGTGTGTATTCTTCAACCTTACAGAGATTGGCAGGAAATTAATGTGACCCCAGCCACCTCAAATCCTTCAGGGGGGTTTTTCCTTCCCTAGACTTCTGATCAGCCTGACTCACTGTTGGCTCCATTTTTCCCAATCAGATGACGATGAAACCTCTGGTCAATAAGCACCTCAGTGTAGTCCATTCGTCTGAGCTGCAGAAGAAAATGGGGTGGTGAGACACAAGACTTGCAAGACAAAAATGGAGCCTTTCATCTCAGACAATACGATTCATTCTCGTGTGCCAGCGATTGCGCTAATATAAAACTGAATAGGTCTGGCACACTCTTTCACCTCCCTCACCCCTCGCTTATCCTAGCACCAGCAAAGATATTCTTATATTCTTAAAAAAAACATAACAAGACAAAACGCTTCTTAATGGGTTTTCAGTGTTCAGAGGTTCGGAACGGATGTATGAATTGGAATCTACTTTCTCCCCCAATACAACTTTGGTAATGTTTTCTAAGACATCCCTGCCACTGGAAAATCCAGTGCCCTTTTTGGCAACATGGCAAAAGCTGGGGTCAAATTCCAGCACTGGGACAGTGGGGGGAGAAAACCCACAGACTGCCAGCTTCCTATTTGGACTCCTGCAGCCCCTTTGAATAGGCAGGGCTCCAATGTTTGAATTAGTTTTTTTGGCTTATTTGTGGAAGTTTTAAGAGACAAAATAACATGTGAAAAAAAGGTCAATATGGGTGTTTTAAGTACCCCTTTCTGCTTTTTTTAATGGGTCAAACAGTTTGGCACCATCTCTCCAAGGTGACACTCATAATGTCACTGGCCACAATTCATACTGCCGTCAAGCAGAAAATAGATGAATCGCTGCCCTGGGCTGGAAAGTGTTTTTTCCCCTGCTATAGTGAGGGAGAAAGTACATATAAGATTCACAGGAGGGCTCACCAGGTCCCGAATGATCTCCTGAATCTGGGTTTGAGCCAATTCCACCTCCTCGGTGGGTCCTTCCAGAGTGATCTTCTCATCGCCATCCGTGAATTCAATGTGAACCTAGAAAAAGGCAAGCCACGCGTGTCTGCCATCAAAAAGGGTTGCATTTGTATTCCAACAGATCTCATAAAATACTTCTTAGTTTTTAAGTGGAGGTGCAAGAGAGGGCCCTTGCAACAGGCCCTAAGCCTCTACTCTCTTTTGGTAACTAAAAACTATCTCTGAACAAGATACCTGCAGGCAACTCATCTAGTAAAACCATATGGACTTGAAACTGCTATGTTGATATTCAAGGTGCTCCAGCAATCCATTAAGGGAGGGCAAAGAGACGTACTGCACTAGTCAAATTTAGTTCCTGCTTTTTTATTTTTATTTATTTATTTTATTTATTTATATTTCCAATGCGCCACCGCCCATCTCACTGTGGGGTGACTCTGGGCGGTTTACAGTAAAAATAGAGTTAATATCGATTAAAATAGATAAATATTAATTAAAATATGTTAAAAACACACTTCCTTTGTAATATTTTCCAATATCCTCAAGGGACAGATATGCCTTTTTTCCCCCTAACAATATTTAATGCGTTCAACCGTAAATTTTATACTGGCTATTTTATTTATAGCCTTGTTATTTTAGGAATACTTGCCTTAGGGAGTTGCTGGGTAATTCTGCCAATATTCTGTCCTTTCTTCCCAATGATAAAACGATGTAACCAGGCTGGGGCCATTACTTCAGCTACCATCACGCTCTTTGCCTAGGGAGCAAGGACAGGATTTCAAGAGGAGTTTATGGAGTTCATTCAAAAGAGCAGCTTTGAAAACCTGGCTACAGGCAGGTCTCTAGTTGGAGTTTGTTCTCCAGATATCAATGCTGGCACATCTCTATACCAGCAGGTGTTTTTAGTGCTGTAATACCTGCATTCTGCCTCTAGGTGCTGTTATAGTAGCATTCCAGCACTTACACTCGTGTGTGTGTGTGTGTGTGTGTGTGTATTTATTTATTGATAAGATTAGATTAGATTAGATTAGATTAGATTAGATTAGATTAGATTAGATTAGATTAGATTAGATTTGCAAGCTGCCAACTCCATTAAGCCAGAGTTGGGTAATCTTCAGCCTCTGGGATTCACACGGACGTTGAATCCCTGTTTTGTGTCCCTCAAACCCATCCAATTTTGCTGAAAACTAACTTTTCTCCCATTTTAAGTTAGGAAACAAATGAAAAAAAAATATTTTAAGTCGAAGAATGTCATCGTTAAAAATGGGGGGGGGGATTCTCCAAAGCCCAACAGTTTCCTTAGGTAAAGCATCCCCCAAAAGCCCCCTCCATTTTAAGTGCCACTTTTGGCCATCCAAAGATCGCCCACATCTACTCTGTCACAATTTGTTTAAAGCTGGTTTCTTGAAAAAACACAGTTTACTACATTCACAAGCACACCACATCCTGTTCATAGTTTACAATGGCCAAATTCACATAAAACACTAATCTAAACAAAATGGAGCCCGCTTCACATAATACAACAATTTATTTTAAATGAAACAGCAGGTGCGGGATCAAAGGAAAAAAGAGGAAACCCACATACACACCCAGAGAGAGAAATACCTCCTGCACAGACCCAACATTTTTACCTAGCTGGTCTTTAAAGCTTGCGTGCATCTTGTCTGTTTTCAATTAACTTACACAAAATCTAGGGGGAAAGTGGGGTTTATTTTATTGACTCCAGCACTACGGTCAGAGTGCCTGGCTACTAACGAAGATGCTGTTCTGGTCCTACGTCAAGAGTCCCACAACTGACTAGGCCTCTTTGCGACAGCGGTAGCCTCTTACCTTGGCATAGACCTGAGTTAGGGCTGGTCCCAGCTTGTCTGGCTCCCCACGCAGAATGATGGTCTCTGAGCTGCTTTCAAGGGGTGGCATCTCCACCGAGACCCCGGTGGTTTCTAGGATTTCTTGCAAGGTGTTTCCTTTCGGGCCGATGATGTACTTGTGCTGGGACTTCTTTACCTCCACAGAGATGGTGGTGGTTTTGCGCTTCTGGAAGACAGCAAGAGGCCGCTTCAAACCCAGAAAGGATGCAAAGCCATCTTTACGAGGAGCCTCCCAACAATCCTGTTGGAAGGAGAGATGACCCTTCGCCTTTTCACTGGGGTTGACGCTTATCCGATCTCTACATTCTGGCACAACATCAGTACTAAGACTGCAACGTTTAAATGATCCTATTCAGCAGATGTGGTCCAGAACAAAGGTGCCCCTGGAAGCTTTTTTTTTAAGCGCACAGAGTAGGCAAGTCACAGTAGGTGGCAGTCCTGAGCCAGCTGTAATGGTATGTGGGAATGACCCTGGGAGACCGGGGTGGGGGAAGAGCCACAGCCAGGGGAATGGTCAGATACGAGGCAGTGGAGCCCGCAGAAGGAATGGGGGCCTGCCAAGAGTCTCAGAAGGGACCCTCCCTAGTTGCTTGGGCTATAAAGGCAAGGGGGGAGAAATGCGCTTTCAGACTTGCAAGATTCTGTTAATGTAATCTTACAATAAAGTGGAATTAGTCATGCTTTCATCAGGAGCACCTCGCAAGGCTGACACCAGCAGATCTCAAGCAGCAGTATCAGACCTAAGACTTGAACAACACTAGGAAGTTTTAAAAACACACACAAAAGACAAGAGTTGCAAAACCAGTTCTTATTGCTGCCAAGAAATACTATATGGACACATCCATGTAGTCACCAGGTGCTGCGTTCAGGTTGAACGAGACTTATGATCTGTGTGAGAAATATTCCCTGTTTCTTCTTAAACAGGAGGGAAGGTTAGTATCTGCTGAAATACTCATCTACATCAAAGTCCCCATATTTTTTCCCCTTCTTTTAGAACTGTCACTTTCTCTATGGAAAATCACTCAAATAACAGGCATAAAGAGACAGACTATTGCTATAAATCTGCCTGTGCAGAGAAATTGCCAGGTTTTCTGTTCAACTACAGGCAAGCAGCAAATATGTGAGGATTGATGATGGTAAGAATGGAAAGACTGGGGTTTCTGCACAAACAAATCCTCGTTATTTGATTGTGTTTCCCATGGATGGGCAAACCATCACCTCTAAGCCTCTTCTGAGCAGGCACTCAAACTTCCCCTATAAAGCACATGAGCAAACCTACTGCATTAATATCTTTTAAAGCCCCTAGACAAGAAGAAAAGAGGTTGAAATTTCATCTCTTCCAGTGCCATCTCCATGTCACTATCATAGTTTCACAGTCCCTGATGGGCATAAAAGTTGGAGAAAAATGCAGCTTTAAAGGCGGTGTTAGGCCCCTTGCATACAACCAAAGGCTTTTCCAAACGCCACAGCCTTCACATAATCCCACCCTCCCCCGCTTTGTCCTGGGATTATTAGCCATTTCTCTATTCAGACATCCAAAATTCTGCTCGGCAAAAACACAGATGGGGTTATATGAATGGGGAAGGTCACAGAATATTAAAGGATCTGGGAATATTCAGCCTGAAAAGACAACCTAAAGAGGATATGACAGAACTACCTGAAGGGAAGTCATATGGGAAAAGTCAAGATTGGTCCTCTATCAACCCAGAATACAAGACATGGAATAATGGATTTACGGTACCTGAAAGCAAACTCTGATTAAATGTTGGAAGAAAGTTCCTAATGGTAGAGCACTTTGAGAGGGGAACCAATGTGTCAAAAGTGGTGGGCTGTACTTAACATGTCTCCATCTATCCAGGATATTTTAATTTGCCCTCTACCAGCTCCAGGATTTTATGAAGTCATATCCAATAATATTGAAACTTTTTGCTCCCAAACTCAACCACTTTGGCTCTGAGAGGGGATGGGAACTGAGATCATTGGCAGAGGACTTGCTCCGTGTGCAGAACATGGCAGGTTGAAAGAGGATATAGGAAAGAAAATTGCTGCCAAACCAGAATAAGAAATATGGCGACAGATATCCCAATAGTCTAGACCCCTGAGGGACCTCTCAAACACCTACCTTGTCTTCATAGATCTTCCGGATACGCAGGAGAGCCTGGGAGACAGGTTCCTTCTCCCCGGTAATGATGATCTCATCCTTGCTGACACTGGGCGGGGGGATGTTGATGCGTGCCCCTGTCTCCTGTATGATCTCCTGGACTGTTTTGTTGAAGGCCCCAGCAATGAATGGGTGGAAGACCTTCTCCAGGTTCAAGCGCTCCACTGCTCGCTTGTCCTAAAATACAGTGGAGAAACTACAGTCTGACAAGGCAAGGACAGAGCAAGCTTCCTTCTGTTCTGTGTGACACCTCTAAAACTCTTGAAGATCAAAGTCTGGCTCACTTTTTGCATCTTCCACTGGGAACAGAGGCAAGGCTATTACTCAAGGCCTTCCTTCTCTTCTCAAACAAGCACACAGGAGATGATCATTGTTGATTTATTTTCACTGCAAGACTCCTATGAAAAAAGGCAGCAGCTCTTCCCCATGAAATCAAGAAGAAACTAATGCATAAGAACCCTTCCTCACCTTTCAGGAAAAAAATGCATGCACATTAAGGTTGCATTCTGTTAACTACATGGTGAAATTAAGAGCAATCCATGGCACTTGTCTTCTGGAATCCCTGCTTATCATTTTAGAATCAAGGTGTTGCAGCATCAATCACAGAAGGCACTAAAAATAATCTTCTGCAAACTTCACCCGGTCACCTTTGGAGGGAAGGAGGGGTGCCCAACTGCTTACCTGCTCTGCTGAGATGAGCAAGATCTCATGACGTGCTTTTTCAATGCCTTCTTTGGTGCCAGTGATCTTGATCTGACTGCTGGGGTCTTCAGGCCGTGGGATGTTGATCTTGGTGGCTGTCTTTAGCTCGAGCTCCTGCAGTTTCTCGCCGTTCTTGCCAATCACAAAGCGATGGTGTTCTTTGGGGATTGTGACAGTAGCTGAAGCCTGCGGAAAGGAGAGGATTGGGGGGACTGAAGCATCTGAATGGCAGATTTGCTAGCAACCCTAGAAAAGCAGGAGAAGGGGAGGAGTTTACACAGCAGTGTTGTGTTTACAAGCCCAAGTCTCACCTAGAGCAATTGTCTTGGATAAAGTATTTGGCCCAACAGTAGAAGACATGGGCTGTATGCAGAAAGTCCAAAGATCAACTCTGGATAAACTTGGAGAAGATGTGTCTGTAACTGTGGAGAGTCACTGCCAGACTACCAGTGTAGACTAAGGATAGGCAATATCAGTCCTTCCAGATATTATAAGACTACAGAGTGCTGGCTCGCCTGATGAGAGTTCAACAACTGAAGGCCCCAGATTGCTCATATGTGCTCTCACAGTACTGAGCTTATAGGCCAGTGGCAGGACTCTGTTGAAGGCAGCTTTCTACGAAAGATCTGATTTGCTGCCAGTTTTCAAAGGACAACCGCAAGGTCAGCTATGACACCCTGGGGATACCTATGTTAATGGTAATGGTAATGTTTTAAGTGCTGACTGGGAGCAGGAGATGGTGATGTGTACCTGGGTCTGAAGCCGAGCAACAATTTCCTTTCGTGCTTTCATTACAGAGTCCAGTTTGCCAGTCACCATGATGGACAGGCCCTGGTCTTTGGCCAAGGAAAGCTCAATATGAGCCCCCGTCTTCTGCATAATGTCCACGCATACTTTGGCCTCGTCACCTTCTCCAAACTGGCTGTTGTCCTTGTAACGTCGCTCTTCCAGAGGAACGTGAAACACCTGTCAAGAAGAACTAGGCATCGTATCTACATACTGCAAAATTTCCACACAAGAACAGGCCTTGCTGGATCATGCCAAAGGAATTCACCCAGAACACAATCCTCTTTCCCAGAGTGGCCACCAAGCATTTCTCTGAAGACTATTTATGGGGCAGAAACACAAAAACTATTCCCCAATTGACTTGCAGAATCTACTATTAGAAGTAGCTGCTTCTAAATAAAGGACTCCATTTAGCTATCACGACCAGATCTCTCCTTCATGAATTCATCTACTTCTCTCTCAAAGCACCTTCATCTGACAATAGAGAATTCCCTAAATTAGCAAAAGGATGCATGCCTGTTCTGAATCTATTATGACCTAATGCCACTAGATGAATCAGCATTGCAGTACCAAGGAAAAATTCCTCACCCACTAATCTCCAGGTTATGGATACCTTGATTCAAATCTGTCACAGCCCACCTCAGACATCCTGCTTTTTTCTGAATTAAAAAGCTCCAAAGATTTTAGCATTCTCCTCCTACTTAGAGGATAAACAACACTTTTATGATTTTTTCCCCCGGAATATTTTTTCACCTTCAAGAGCTATAGCAGATGTGGTAGGTGACTCCATGACACTACTGGAATGGGCAGAGGCTAAATATTCACCTAACTCTGGGGCGATGCGGTGGCTGAAGGCTCTCATTTTGACCCTAAGAACCGCACAAAATCAGTGAATTTTGAAAGGTGAAACCAATGCTCGCTGATTTGCTTAATGGCCTCCCCAAGTGGGGGGAACTCTGAGAGTCTTCTAAAGACCTCAAAAGAGGTGCTGGGGGGGGGTGTTGCACATTACCTAAAGACTGTCCATGGGCAGTGGCCTTGTTGAGGCACCAGTGTAAGCCAGGAATCAATATGAATGACCAACATGTCAACATCCTTAATCCTTTCGATCGCACCAGCAGATGAATGGCCATTATCTTCCAGCTTTCAAATCACTGAACCGAGACGATGCGACCCTCAAATGCTCCAGACTAATTCCCTGGTTACAACAGCAGGATGCAAAAAGCTATTCTGCCCCCCACCAATATTCCTCTCTCTTTTCTGAGCATAATTCAGTGCAGAGATTTTGAATGAGAGAAGTATTGCAATTCTGTCTTTTCATTTCTATGACTTATAATTAATTTTCTAGACCACTGGCTCTTAAAACTGTTTGACCCAATTATCTCTTTTCCCAGTCTCCAACAATGTCATTCACCCACCTACTCCCCACCTCAAAAAAACAGACTCTGTTGTTTTACACAAGCATCTCAGCAGTGGCAGTCCCAAACTGGATCAATTCTCAAACAAGCAATTACAAATGGCTTCATTACCTCCAGGACATGCCCCAATTACCCCCAGTTTAAGAACCATTGTTCTAGACCAACCTTATCCAGCTTGGGTGCCCTTTGGGTGTGTGAACCAACTCCCAGAATCCTCAGCAATGGTTATGCTGCCCGGATAATTCTGAGTATGGGAATCCACCCCACTTGGAGGCAACCAGATTGGCAAAGGTTGTTTTCAACCCACCCATTCCTTTTCTCTGGGAGATCACACCACACTGCGCACTGCACTCACCACCCTCCATGCACCCACCTGGGTGATGACAGAGGATTTGATAGGCCGAATTTTGTTCCATACGCCTGTGACCTCGCTGGATCTTTCTCCCGGGGCCCCCTTTTCTGGGAGTGGTGGGAAAGCTTCCAAATATGTAGGGATGTAGGCCTCATCTTCCGGGACACCACCTGCTCAGAGCAAGAGAGGAGAAGAGAGCACAGACTCACAGGGGAACAAATACCTGATCAAAAGAGGACTGCACAGCAAATACAGAAAAAGAGAAGCGTACAAAAGTAACGTCTCCTTTGAGTGGAGTTCAATTACTACAAGGCCAAATCCCAGTCATTTTCCTAGCAACCATATTGGAATGCTTGGCCATTCTCTTCTCCTGGGATACGGTTTTAACTTCCCAGTCTAGCCTTACAGCCCTATGATTTCCTAGTGATCTCCAGTCCCAAAACTGACCAAATTCAACCTTCCTTAGCTTTTCAAGACCAGATAAAGATCAAACGCTTGACAATTTTAGCCTACTGAAACTCACATTTGATTTTGGTTATGCTACTATTCTTGTATCTGACAACAGGGAGTTACTTTTTATAGAAGAGGAGAGGGAAAGAGGGTTTAGGATCTGTTTCTTTTGAGTTCATTGGTTTTATTTTTACTAGAATATCAAGGGCCCGCCTCCACTCGGTGCAAAATGATGGGGCACAAATGTGTACAGGGATGATGTGACATATACAAACATCAACCTGTCTTTAAGTTACTAGCAGTTAAAGATTTTCATCCAAGGTGATAAAAAAGGCCAAAACCAACAGAAGAACTGATTTCAAGACTATTTGTTTTACGATCAAGAGACACACTCTTGAGACTGAGAGACATAAACAGTAAAAGTCAAATGTAGCACCAGCGGTACAGGTTGTGGATAATAACAGAAGGTCTGGATAATTATAAATCTAAAGGTTTGGTGCTCTAGTGTCCTTTTGAAATTAAAAACAAATCACTTTACCCTCACCAACAAAACAACTTGGAATGTTACAATATTCTCCTACTGGTTTCTGATGGCTGATTTTTCTAACTTATAGACTTTTTTTTTGCACAGAGACCACTACTGTAAATCGCTTCTTTCCCACTGGGTGGCAAAGGATATGGCAGCTTGAAATTCTGGGAGCCGGAGGCAAAAAATTGGGGGTGGCCGCAGGTGTCATCATACAGAATCTCCTGCTGAACCACAGCCAACCTTCCAAATAACCCAACAACCCAACTCTGCTTTTCCAAACATGCCTCTCATTTGCTGTGAGCAACGTTCTTCCTGCCCCAACATCCTCCGCAGGCGAGCCCATCTCACCTCGTGCTTCTTCGTCCCTCAGGCCGCTGCGGTGCTCAGCAAAGCTCTCAGGTGTTAACACTGCTACCGAACTCATTGTTTCAAACCCAGATTTGCGCGTTTCCGATATTCCACTGAGGAGGGGGTACAGAGGGAGAGGAAAAAAAAGGCACCTGTTTGGCAGTTGGCCAAACCACCTTGAAGGACACCTTGGCATTATTTAGCACCTAAGCGTGGCTGGCATTTACTCACATGATGCCAGCTCAGCTCTCCTAAAAGATCAGCATGGATGCGTCCTAACTCCAAACATGTTCTTCTGCCTTGCCTAATGTTTTTATAGTGAGCTGTCAAGGTGCAGAGATCACATTCATTCGTTCATCAGATTTATATCCTGCCACAACCATCAACAACTCTCAGATCATACACTGCCCAACCCTAAATCAGTTGCAAAGCATCACTTTCTTCCTTGGCTTACCTGCAAAATGGTCAAATGCCGGAAAGGTCCGTCCGAAACAAGGCTACCTGTGGCGCTTCAGTGTGACAGCAGCTTTGGTCCTGCCAGATGTTAAAATGACACATTATTATTATTATTATTTTGGTATTTCTTTCACCTTTTTGTTAAAGCGCTTTCTATGTGGGTTCCCCCCCCCCTTTTCAATAAAAAAAATTTTTTTTTAAGCTTTGGTTCTGCCAGGAAGATTGAATACCATCATCTTAGGATGAAACATGCCCCAACCTAGTAGAAGAGTCCCTCCACCCCTGAAAAGAGATATGCCCAGGTAAACAGAATAGCAACAGAAGACTATTTAAAGGTTATAGGAGTGTGTCATTTATTCCTCCCCAAGGAGAATTTATTTTTGCTCTATGACATCCCCCAGCTGCCTTGGGGCTCCCTCCACCTCCAGGAATTCAGTGGGGAGCCTGGAGGAAACTACCAGGCACTTAGGATTCTAGTCCTCATGACCAGAAGAAAACAGAACTACAATGCAATCTAAAAATCAGACTCCCTAGAAAACAAGCAGTGTTTCTGGGATAGATGGAACCATTATATTAAGCTGTGATGCCATAAGGCCACACCGTGCTAAGGAAAATCACTGAGCGAAGTGGATAAGCGCCTCTGTAAAATGAAGTCTGGCTTCTGGATCTCTTTGAATACAACCAGAACTGTTTATCACCAGAGTGGTGAAGTAGCTCCTGGTATCCAGAGGTGAGTGCCAAGATCGACAGCTGCAGTTATGAGACTCTAACAGGTAAAGGACCATACTCTTGGTGATGCCGCCGCTGCAGGAGGCGGTGCTACAGGTTTCCTGGAACTGGTGCCGTGCGTTTGTACTGGGATTTCAACTCCCAGAATTCCCCAACAGCATAGCCAAAAACCTGCATTGCCAACATACTCAGAGTGAGCCCAGCTGGGGAACACTAGCATTATTCTTACCTTTAGAACAAGCTGGGTCCCCTCCCTAACCAGACTTCAGGCCCCTTCTTTGCAACAATGCTCTCTTTTATTTTTTCCCACCGCCTTCCAGCTCTTATTAAAGCAAAGCACTGCTAAGCTTCCCAGGACCCAAACTATGGTGAGGATTTGAGGGAAAGCCTCTTATGGCAACCAGGAACTAATCACACCTGGCTATCACCTTCCCATCAGTGCTGAGTTGAGTGGCAGGGTTGTGGGTGGGGTGGGGGATCGTAAGAGGAAGAAAAAACACACACACACACACACACACTCGGTTCATGGAGACTTTACATTTCTAATCCTGGAATATGCTTAAGTAGAAGACAGAACCCTCTGTAGATACTTCAGGTAACTCTTTTTAATCCACATTAAGACAGAAGGAAAAAGAAAAAAAAAAGAGGCAGAGAAAGAGATTTTTTAAAAAGAAACCTGAGTGGGTGGGGGAATATATAGGACATCACACAATGCACAATAATATGAAATCAACAGTTCAAAGCTAAATGGCCCAACTCTGGATAAAGCAGAAGTATATTCCAAGGGCCTGGAGGAGGGGCATACACCTCCAAGAAAGTTTCACACTATAAGAATTGACAGCATCAAATCTGCTTCATTTCAAGAGTTGAAGGTGAGGCTGCACATGCCACTAAATGACATGTGCAATTGGCTTACTAATTTTTGCACACGGATGTCATCCTTTGGGAATGTGCCTTTCTACAAAATGCATTCATCAGAGTCCACCCTTTGCCACTGCTTTCCAACACCATTCTCTGCTGAAAAAAAAAAGAGCTGACCATGCATGTCTTGAAACACTGCACATTCAGAAAGCATTTAGAAATACCTTCCATAATTAGTCCGTTCAATTCACAGATCAACATAGAAATAGACTAGAAAGTAGCTGGTTCGCTCAAGATCAGATACTGACCAGGTTGGCTTAACCATCAATGAGCCAGAATTGACTGGCTCCACACGACTAGCTACAACAGGGCCCTTAATTTTTGGGGCCACCTGGAGTTTTGAAGTAGGTAAGGGCAGGATGGCTGACATGGATGAACTCATTCACAAAACGCTACTCTGGTGGGACAAAAGAATCACCATAAAAAAGGCGCATGGAGTAATGGGCTTGATGGACACCCACTCTGGGCATACTAGTGCCCCAGACAATCATACAGGGGGCCATATTCCTAAGTCGAAACCCAACAAATCTCATTATGGTGAGCCCAGCCACTGAGTTTTATTGGGTTAGTGTCCTGGCTGTGAGGATTTGCCACCACTGCTAATCCATGTCTACCTCTCCCTATTGGTCTGCCTTCCAAGTCAATTCCTATCTTTCCCAGCCTGCTTTGGGACTATACAGACAGTCCTCTACTTACAAACTTTCAAGTTACAAACTTTTGCCAATACAAACAACCTCCAACAACAAAGATTCCGGAAGGAAGGTCCTAGAAATTTATGGCATGCATGCGCACATATGTGGTGTGCCATAAACTTCTGGGCATACATATGCAGTGCACTGTGATTGGACTTATGAACAAAATGAACTTATGAACAGGTTCTTGGAACATAATCTGTTTGTAAGTAGAGGACTATCTGTAGACATTCCCCAAAAGGATATAACCCTTTCATTTCTGGGTGGGGCTGCTGGTGAAATAAAAAACAGCTCCATTTTAATCTGATGGCCACCAGTCTAGGAGGAACTGAAGCATTCTTTTCCCAGGCAGCTACAGGAAGTCCCTGGGTTAAGAACGCCCAGGTTACTGATGACCCATAGTTAAGAACAGAGCCTATTGTAGCAAAATTCAAGTTAAATACCCAATGATTCGAGTTAAATGCACAATGCTTCAAGTTCATTACACAATACTACTTATACAATATTATACAATAATACTGTTCCAGCTTACATACAAATTTGACTTAAGGACAGACCTTGGGAATGGAGCTTGTTCTTAAATTGGGGACTACCTGTATTCCACTGGAAGAAACCCTGACTTCTTATTGACTCCCCTCCCACCTTCAGGTGCACACCGAACAAGCTGCCATCTCGTCTCCTTGATGCAGTCTGATAGGACCGCAGCCTGTGGCCATCAATAAATAAAGATGAGAGAAAAAAAAGACACAAACATGGGAAGTGGGGAACAAACAGTCCTGTCCTACACGCAAGAGGAAGGGCAGAAGTCTACCATTCAAAACAGGAGTTTTGACATTTGCAAGATCTCAAAAGATCCCG